TGGGTAAACTTTAAACATTCATAACTTCTCCAATACTCAACGAAATCAAGTGATTCAAAAACAAAAATCATACTTCTCGATGAGATGAAGAGAATGGTACCTTTATTAACGGATAATTCACTGCGTTTTGGCTGGAAAACTGCTCAAAATTGGCTAACTATTTTTCGAGTTAGCCACTTTCGTGCCGTTTTCCGGCCAAACTACAATGAATTAGCCATTGATAAAGGTACCATTCTCTTCTTCTCGTTGAGACTTATGACTTTTGTTTTTGAATCACTCAATTTGGTTGAGTATTGAAGAAGTTAAGAACGTTTAAAGTTTACCCAGTTTCCGGCGAGTTTTCCAGTTTTTCACAGGACTAGTCAAATTTGAGGCTATTTTCCGGCCATCACCAGCAACCATTGGTCTTCCAAATAGGTATAATCTTGTTATACACTTTTCTATCTTCATTTTGATATATTATGGGTCGAATTTGGTTAAGAAATGATTGAGTTACAAAGCTTTGAAAATTGCCCAAACTTCCAACCAAGAGCTCTGGGACACTTAACGGAATGACCAAAATGATGGATGGTGGACAATCTTAGAGACCATTTCTGTTGATTTTCAATCTCAGGGACCAAAATGATGTGTTATGCAAATCTCAGTGACCATTTTAGCTATTTAGCCGTCATTTAAAAGTTATCTTCAAAACATATTGATAAACAATTGAATGACTAACTACTTTAAAATTAGGGTTTTATTCCATGATTAGACTAATTTTTTTGTTAGCAATTACCCAATTCATGTTAACTATGCAGAAACTTCAATCCATGATAAACAAGTGAATGACTAATTACCCATTCAAATCGAAATATGGAGGGAATTCAATCTATGATAACACGATAGATGTGTTCACTCTTTGTTATTAAAATTGGGCTGGTCAAGCTTTTCAAACGAAGAGTTTGATGTGGGGTTTAACTATTAAAGTAGTAGTATAAAATGTATTTAGAGAGTGTGGAGTGTGATAATAGTATTAGAATGCAAATATTTATATTTTTAGACCTACAATCTTACATTTAGCGTTTTAAGATTTAAGTTTTTGCATTGGAAGGGAAATGATTGAAGTCAAAACTCATATTTGAGTTTTGGAAATTTAAATATGTGGACTGAAGATTCATGAACTCAACCTGGACTCAAATCACCCTAGAACTAAAACCGGTGAAAAGAATGAACACTATGTAAACTGTACTGGCCGAAAAGACATAAAACATGAAGATAGAAGGATTTATAGAACAAAAAATATGGATGCCATTTCCAACCAAAGTGTAAGAAGCTAGTAACTGATGATGATTGAATATTGACGATTGTTATTAAAGTGCATAATCACACAATAAAAAGTGTGTGGCGAGTCATTCAATTGCTGATGAATTATCGTCAGAGAAAAGTTCGTTGTTAGAAAAATAACATTTTAATTTTTTGAAATAATAATGAGTAAGAAAATAACATATTAGAAGTTATATTAGAAATTAATGGTAGTGGGAAAATAACATTCCAATTTTTAAATTTTCATAGCAGGTGAAATTTAACGCGAAAAGAGAACAAAACATTCAAATTATAATGTGATGAGAAAATAACTGGGTTGGTCCACCAGCACTCCAATAATTTAGGGCTGAGCAAATTTAACCCGACTTTATTTTTTTTCTTCCTTCTTTTTGGTTAAAGAGAAAAGAAAGAAAGGAAAAACTGGGCGAAAGCCATTAATCATCTGTATTCATGGGAGAGGAGGAGGCGGTAACGGTGGGGTCATCTTCTTCAGCTCCAGCTATAGACTCCTCCAATATTGGGTTTCAGGTAGGTATCCACTGACTTGTAGCCGCTGGAGCGTTTGTACGAAATTAAGATTCGAATTAATTTTTATATTAAAGTGATTATATGTTATTAGAATTGGGAGGCAGCTTTTGAAGAAGCAGGTGCAGCTCAAATCCGTCGTTATGTACAATCAACCATTGATTTTTCTTAATACCTCCAGGCTCCAGGCTCCAGCCAAGAAAAGTTATATGTTAAATCTAATTTAAAACCACGCGGAACATTGTTTCCAAAAAAAAAAAAAAAAAAAAAAACTCCACACGGGACATATAGCTATATATATTTACATGTTTGTGTGTTTATATTTTGTTCGTAGCTGAGTGAGTATGTTTATCATGTCAACAGGGTAGGCTAGAGCCTATTCAAGCTTACTTGAAGGACAACAAACGCGGCATAGGAGCAGATACTTCAACAAATAAATTCTTGCCGGTTTCTGAAATTTCGGATTCTAGTCGACGAAAGTATGAAAAGGTTAGCTTCATTTGCTGTTGCTGCTTTCTGGTTTGTTTTTAAACTTCAGCTCTTCTCCTTTTTAGGACTTGTGAGCTTGTGTTTAGGCTCCTAAACAAATTATGCACAAGAAAATCATAAAAGCGGGTAAGAGCTAAAGAAACTTAGAAGATTAGTTTTTGAATCCATTGTAAGAGAAGCGTGCCTAAGCAAACTAAACGAGACTGCATGTTACAACAGAATGTGCATCAATGATATAAGTGATAATTTCTTTGTAAATCTAAGTGAAAGAATGAGAAAATCGGAATTTTGAGGAAAATGATAAGACGCAAACATAACCCAGTTTGTATAAAACCATTGGAGAGATGCCAGAGTAGTGTATTATTATTTGTTATCTCTTAACCTCAGAACAATAGCTTCATGCATTTGGTACAGAAGGAAGAAGATATGGGAAATGGCATGGTCTCTTCAAGTTGTTCATCAACAGCCATCAATTCCTCCAATATAGGCTTTCAGGTATTCCCCCATTATCTTTCTATTTATAGTTCTTTTCTTTGTTTTCAATGTTATTCTTCCTTTTGCTTTGGTCATGCATTCACTGTCTTGTGGCTGATCTTGTGCAGCTTTTGAAGAAACATGGTTGGAAAGAAGGAACTGGTCTTGGGATTTCTGAGCAGGTTAATATATTAGCATCTTTCTGATTCTTCACTCCTACTTTACTTCAACAAGTTACCTATTTATTAGTATATTACTATCCTTCATCTTCACTTGTTTGTGTAAGCTTTGGTTTCTGTTGACTTACTTTTTTCTGGATTCCTGAACATGACTGTTGTAGTGTTCTGGGTAGTTATAGAAATTGACACGTAACCTCTTTATTTGTCCGAACTGCTTTCTCAATTCTATGTTATGCATGTGATTTTCAACTAATTTTGTTTTGAAATCATGCATGAGCTTATTACTGTGATCGGTCAACAATCATTGTGACAGTCAATTGTGTGTGCTTGTATAATTGCACTTCAGTTGCAGAAAAGGACACATTCTAGTACCCAAGGTATGAACCTCAAGAAGCATACTTTAGAAAAGGACACATTTTAGATATGCATAGAAAACTGTTTGTAATACGGATCCAAGAGTATCAGATTGTTTTCTGTTAAGCATACATCTTCCTTGCATGTGGAATACATAGTTCCATAAGAAGGGTGATATTGTAATGTCCAAAGCCACAGCTTTGGTCCACTTCTGTTACAACTATGAGTCTATGACCTAACAACACCATTAGGATCACCACTGGAGCTGCTACCACTATTGTTCCGGTGATACCTCCACTACCATTGCTACATGCAGTATGTAGCAATGGTAATAGAACAAGTTTTCAACCAGAAAAAAACAGAAAAAAAAGAAAAAGAAAAAAGAAAAAGGTAATAGAACAGGTTCATTTTGTTAACCACTATGCATCAATGGGCTGAAATAGTTGTCAGGCACTAATACTATTTCAGCCAGTAATAGAACAAGTTTTCAATCCAAGCCTGGTAGGCTTATTCGGTGCATGTGAAAGTCATTGATGCATGGAATGGGGTTTAGCGAGTTTATCGTAAGTATGTGCTAACTGCTACGTGCTACTAGTTTTTAGATGGGATATCTAACTAGTTTATTTCTATGAAACAGGGAAGGTTAGAGCCTGTACAGACTTACTTAAAGAATAATAAACGGGGCCTGGGAGCAGAAAAGTTAAAGAAGGCGCTAAAGCCCCCTGATTCTACTGCCTTGATTAAAAAAAATGACCAGGTGAGTTCATTTGCATGTGTATCAATATTTCAGAAACCCAATCTTTTTTGTTTGATTTCCTGTTTTCCATGATGAAAATAGTTAGAAAAATATGAAGTTACACAGGACTTAGACGATGGAGCTTATTTTTTAAAATATTGTTGTTCATCAACTCGTCTTCTTCTAAACACGTAACTCCGAGGCAATCAATAAGAAACTCTTTTTAGAATTATTGAAAGAGAAAGGTGGTGGATCAATGATTTAGACAATATATCATAGAAGGAAGAGCGAAGTTAAGCTGACCATTATAACTGGCTACACTCTTGCGCTACTAATTATGCTGTTGGTGTTTAGGAGGGGCAATCAAGAAAAGGCAAGGGACTCTCCAAGAAGATGAAGAAGATGCAGGAGTTAGAGAAAAATTTGCAGGAGAGAGAATTTGAGCGTGCCTTTTTCAGGGAGTTTTGGCCAGACAACGTTTAATGGAAAAAATGCATAATCTCTAATCATTATGTCTTAAACACACCCCTTGCTTTTCATATTTTAGGTTTTGTACGGGGTTTTGTTTGTAAGCCAGTGAAAACATCAATGCTAATTTCAGTTTGCCATTTTAAGTTTGCCTAAAATTTAAAAAACGGGCGAAACTTAAAATGTAGTGGCCAAATTTGAAACCTGGGCTCGTTGGTAGAGTTATTGTCTAGCGGATATCTATTCCATGCAAGCAAAAGTCGATGAAGGTGGAGCTAATGTGGGTATAGGTACTAGTACTACCCTCATGACCCTGAACCAGCATGGTTATTTTCGTAGTTTTTGGTTCTTGTTACAATTTTACATAGTTGAATGTGGGTTAATGAGATAGGAATAGAATGTCATATTTGATTTTTTTCAATGTAACAGAAAAAATAGTGTGCGCACCCCTTTTCTCCCTCTAATGTACTTATTATCACAACATAATTTGCAGAACCCTATCCATCTATGAAAAGTTTAACTGGATATTGTGTACAAAAATAAACAAGGGTACGAATTGAACTGGAAATAGAACCACATTTGGCCATTTACAACCTACTACTGATAGCGTTGTTTGTACCGTTGGCAAAGTTTTATGATTTCTTTTTCTTGCGATCGTCAAGTGATTTCTTCTTCTTGCGATCGTCGGGTTTAATGAGTTGAACCGGAGCTGCTGGTATTCTGATCCACCATTCCCTAATTCGCCTCACCCACCTGTCGCTGCTTTCCTTTCTATATGGCATTTCCCTTGTAAAAGCCTCCAGAAATACTAGCAGAGTTATATATTTCAATGGCACAAATGCAAACACTGCTGCCATGAAAACCAGCAGTAAAACGATCCTGTCCGTTGCCTGCAGATATACCAGTTATGATATGTAATGCATCAACGGGAGAGAGAACCAGTTCCTAATAGAAATTTGAATTCTAATGTTACACGAACATGTTGGAAATACAAACAAGCCAACCCGCCCTATGAGAGCTTAAGAATAAATTAGCATGGCTTCAAAAGTATACCTGTGGAAGAACTGCAAACATGAGAGCTCTTATCTTCAAGAGAATAATATTCCCAGATCGAAGTAATGCTTCAACTTGAGTGATGGCTTCTTGCAATGTCAGCAGCTGCTCTACTGCATTTCGGTTATGGGGAGGTGTTATTCTGAATGGTTCTAAAGGTTTCCCTTTGTTAAAGTGCCTGCACTGGAGCATAACAACTGCAACGTATACAAAAATTGATGGCAATATATATCTGATCCAACCCCTGTACAACAAAATTAACATTACATTACTTCTGGCCATCCAAGCTAAAGCTAAAGAAGAAATGGGAATTGAGGGATAGTTAGGTCAACACAAGCAACAATTAATAGGGGAAATCCCAACCCCTCTCTATTTACCAATTGAGGGACCATGCAATAAACTCCTCTTTATAAAGTAGAATTGTTCTTAAGGAACTAATAGGGGAACCCAACTCCTATCTAGTTCCAGCACTAACTTGACAGAGTCGGTTAAACCCAGACTGTAATGTTCATGTGGGGCTCAAACTCAAAACAAAGAGGCCCCATGCTCTGGCAGCCCAGGTTTAACAGCCGGCTCTCCATTTGTACTGCGAAAAGAGAGGTAATTTTTCCCCGTAAGGGGCAATAAATAAATAAATCATACTCTTGGAACCAGGCCCAGAAATCTCCAGTCACAGACAAGTTACCTTAATATAAAGTAGCTGCTCAACATCAGAAACGCTGTTGTTTTATAAGGGTAGTCCCATGATGCCAAAACTTGAACACAGCTAGCTAATTCAATCACTGGAAACAAAAGTTCCTACAAGTACAAAATAATCTTTACATAAGCAGTACAAACATTATACCTCCAGAGTAAAAGTCGTGAAGGGATGCACTTCCAAAGGTATAAAAGGTACAGGGTGGAACTAAAAAAACTTAATGGCTGCGTACAATCTGTTTTAAGTACTTCTGTCTCTATTACTAATATGGGGTTCCATTAAAGCAGAAACAAAACACCCAAGTGTAACAAAAAGATTCAACAAAATTTAATCACAGTAACTTGTTCTCACATCAATACATGTTTCTGGAATTACTGCACTGGTTCAACGAATTTTTCTATATTTGGTTGAGCAGGAGTGACAATGCACTTGTCGCCTATTGAAGATCATATTCAGCAGCTAGGGAAGGGAGAAACTGCCTTCTTTTTCCTCAGCAATGAAGAACAAAACAAATGCAATCTATGTCACTAACTAAACGCACTACAAATAGATTCATTCTTCAAAGGAGTTTTCAGATGTTTCTATCCACTTTTGTTTACTATTACTAATTTGTAAGAATGGTTAAAGTTATATTGGCATGGAAACCCCAATTTAACAAGTGAAATGAATATTAACCTTCATTATTGCAACATTTGTATCAATTCCATCCACCTTCACTTGTTCCACAGTTGCCTGTGCAGCTTCAGCCCTCCCTGTGTCCAGTACTGACTGTTTCACTGCCATTTCCAAGGGATTAATCTCACCAACACAAACATCTCCAACTATTATTGCTTCTCCATCAAGATGTACATCTTTTTGTAACATAAATCCAAGTTGAGTAAGTGCTATAAGTGAAACTGGAGAAAGTTTTGGCTGCCATTTTGCATGTGGACTCCCAGAAAGATCATGTTGGGCAGCACCGGAATTCAAAAGCAGCAAGCGACTTGACAAAGTTTTCAAAATCAAGTCCCCACCTGGAAGACTTTCAGCAAGGTTAAAAGCAAGCAAGGTTTTATAATGGGATGAAAAGAAATGGAAGGCTTCTCTAACTGCACGATATCGGATGATGCCTAGAATAGCTCTTGCCAGTACTTCTGATTTCTTAGTCTCTTTAAGATTATTTTTCCGAATGAACCTGTGTGCACGCAAGATCTCGAGACAAATATCCAACCAATAGTCCCGGCGAGAATTGCCTTTGAACTCAGGAAACTCCAAATAAACTGGCTCTGCTCTGCAAATAAAGAATAAAAGAATCAAATAAAAAAATTGAGTCAGCTCACGATCATACAAGTTCCATATAGGCTAGACGAGATATATCACATACACAGATGTTGACTTGTACATAATGGCTTTGTCGAAAAGCCGAGCACCCAATGGTCCAGTCAATTCAGGTTTTATGACCTGCTTCATATCCGTTGCCAGATCGTACCTAACAGCTTTTTCATACAAACCAACTCCCAATGATTCAAAGTACAGTGCAGAATTGGTAAGTGTCAACCGTCCTAGATAAACAAAGATTGGATGAGCAACACTTTCCAGTTTTATATAATACAAAATTTTAGTACATAAAACGGAGCCTGCTATAATTGAGACCATGACCCGAATTAGTCAAACCTGTTTAGCAAAGTTTTCAGGAAAAGAACATAAAGCAACTGTTTAAAATATTATAAGTTCAAAATTGGGGAAGGTGTCCTCATTAGTACGATGCAGAGCTGGTTATTATAGGATTTCCAAAAATGTAGAAAGATAAAGATGAAAAAAAATTAAACTGTCACTTGGCCATGAGGGGTTGAAGCAAAATCACTCGAGAAAATCCTCCCTCCAATAATATTTATAGGGAGGCCATGAGGGGTTCTTGTTTTATAATATAAGAAGTAGACCATTCCCAAGGTTTACTCATGTCTCCAAATTGTATTAGCTCTAAAGTTTATGGTTTTAAAAACTAATTTACTTAACGCAAGATCCACCTTCCTGAATACAATCACTTACCAGGCCACAGAGACATGCCAATATGTTGCAGCACTGGTTGAGTGGGAACTGTACCATCAACATCAAGGACAATTTCTCCCTCTGTAAGCTGAAGGTTTTCAATGGACGAGGCCAATGCATTTTTGGAAGCCTTAATAACCCTGCAAAAGAGCCATTAATTAATAGACAAAATTTGACATCAATAAGGTTAAACAACGAGAAAAAATAACAAGGCAAACACTTTTTTAGTTATATTTGATAGAAAGTAGAAAATCCACATGCCATAGCCACTGGAACTGATGAGTGCACATGTGCATGTGCATGTGTGTGCCTTCTACTAACCTTAAAATCTAACCAAAGCTAGAATTACCATAGACGAGAAATAGGATATTTTCTCTTCTATCATGGGGGAATTCTTGTCCACTTTACTGTGCAGTTGCCAAATTCGAAACAAATTTTCGTCTTTTAATTAAAAAGAAATCATAGAGGAGAAATGGATAATGCATTTCTTACTAACGAGGTATACACCAATTTCATCTCATCACACAAGGTGAACTACATGCATGGCCAGACCCCGATTATTGCACACTATGATATGCATCAGTTTGTGCAAACATACTTTATAAACCGTTTACTTGTATAGCATTTTTCTTCATAAAAGTATGTTTGGAACTATGGCTTAACACATATGGGCTATGCATGCTCCAAATTTAACTTAACATTCAATGATAGGACAAGCACCTAGGATTAAATTCTCATGTACTTTGAGTAACAGTTCCACAATGATAACTAAAAGGACCAAAAAAATACTTGTCGAGGCTTCGTATGTATTTGTCATATACAAGGAAATGAAGTCGATGGCCTGAAGAACTTGTGAGGGCATCATAAAGATTGTGGACTGTTATTATATCTGCAACAGCAGCACAAACAGGAGCTATTCGTGCAAAGGCCTCTGGCCCAACAGTTTTTTTGTCATCAACCTGAAGGAGAAACACAAGTTAGTTTTTGAAAGTAGTAACTACACTGAATGAATAAGATGAAAGTTGAAACTAGCCCATTCTATGCACAAAACTCGGTTAGATGGGAATAATGTGCTCATTGCAGACAAAGAAACGAGGAAACTGACGAAAAAAGAACCTGCACGGCCATATTCGTAGAACTAGAATAAAAAATTGACCAGCCATCTTCGTCTTCTACTTCCTGGTTACTGCAAGTAGTTTCCTGCAGTTGAAGATCATTCACAGAAACGAAGATAAAATTTAAGAGCTACACTTGAGTTTCTGACTAATTATAGGGGGGAAAAGAAACCCTTAGTGATCTAAAATAACAATGAGGCTGCCTCACTTTGTCTTGGGATTTCGTCTCAACACTAGGCGACTCCCACGCAAGCATCATATCAAATGTCAAGTGGCGGAACTCCTTGTCATTCAAATAATCTGGACGACTGCTCAGTATATGGAGTGCTTGGTATGAGCAAAATTCCAAAAAATTCCTGGCATAAGTCAAAAGTTCCTTAACACTCTCGGGTAGCTGTGTGTCAAAATGATGCTGTAGTTCTTCAGTAGGGACTTGAAGAATCCTGCAGTAGCAGGTGAGATGCATTTAGCATCAAGATTACTAGGATACAGATGGTATAGATGTATTTTAATGAATCATGGTTAGACTATAAACCAATAATACATAGCAGTAGATGCTTACTATCACAATGAAATCTATGGATTTCATGGATGTAATGTTTTTGCGTTTGATGATGATGATAAAAATGATGAGGAGAGTAATAATAGAGGCAGAAATAGTAAAAAGAAGATATATTTTATCTTTCTTTTTGCGTCATCCAGGTAATAGTTATGGACTAAAAATCAAAGGACCGGAGGGATTCATTCAGATATATGATTTGTAATATCCGAACACCAGCACCAGCATGCTAAAATCAAATCAAAGAATAACATGTATAAAAAAAAATGTGATATAAAATGATGGGTGCAGTCGCATTACAGGGTGGAATTGGCAAAACAAATGAAGCCCAAATCAAATGCAGTGCTGGTTTTTGTACAATGGACATGCTTGTAAAGGGAATGGAAGGGAAGAAGCTTCTCGAGCGACCCAAGTAAAAAGAAAAAATAAATAAATAAATAACAGAGCAGCATATTCATATCAATAAAGAAAAAAAAAAGGAGGGAGACTGGGAGAGGGAGGAAGACAGACTTGGAACAGCGAGAGACGACGGAATTAGCGAAAGGAGAGAGCTGAGGAATGGATTTTGGAGAATTGAGAGCAGCAGAGGAAGGGGAGTCTTGGTCGTCGTCTCCATTGTCATTCGCATTGGGAGATTTGTTGCGGCTGAAAAGGGATTTCAGGGATTTTTGATGGTTTCTCGTCAGGAAACCGTCCAGCATTCCCAACTTCACGTTCTCCATATATTCTACCGTAACCATAACCCTAACCCTAACCCTACCTAGACTAACACATCACACATTCCCTCCCCTAGGCCTGGGCTATACTATAAATTGCCAAATGCCAATGCCGCGTCGTCTGCTCTCCCAACCATTTGATTTCCTCATTCTCTTTCCTTTTTCCAGTAATTTCACAAATGAACAGCCATACCTTTTCCTTTTCCTTTTCCTTTTCTTGAATTGTAATCAACACTGCCAAGATTGAGAAATTAGATTGCGGGAGATTCCACGAACACCGCACCGGCAAGGCGCCTTGCTGCTCGCCTTATTTAAAATTTGGGCTGAAGCTGATGATGGGCCCAGGACCAGGCTCAATGCTCTATAAACAAAATAAGGACGAGTACATATACTATTGGGTCTTGGGTTTGGGAAGTAATGGGTTTGGCCGTATATCAGCTCCTCCAACATATTCTAATTTGTTGACTATTGACTATTTGACCGACTGGGGGGATTTGACTGAGTTTTCCAATCTATTAAGGGTAATGATATGTAACAACCTGGGGAGCGTAGGGAGTCAGAGACTGACTCGGGAGGAAGGGGCGGGCGGAGACAGATTAGATTAGATGGGTCAAGTTCAAAGCGAGGCAGCAACAGCGGATCGCTACTCTGGTTCTGGTGTCTCCTCCTCATCCTCATCCTCTCCTTCCGCTTCCACAGACTCTCCTATTGCCGTGGGTACCTTTCTTTCTTTCGCTACAGTCTCTCCTTTCCGCTGCCCTATCTATATAATTTGTGTATTAATTTAGGGTATGATTCATTATACTTACACAGCACCACCGTTTCTCGTTTCTTATTGGGTATTTGTGATTTATTTACGGCGTTGCTTGGGTGTTTGTGAATTTCTTGCCTGAACTTGTTGGAATTGATTTATTATTGGAATAATCTGAATATGTATTTGCTGCAGAATTATTAAGTCCTATCCTTGAGTATATACCTATAAATTAAATTATATACACACTAGACTAGTAAATTTGGCTACAATAATACGTTGATTGTAAATTGTTTACTTTGCCAATTGCCACCACTAAAACCACATTCTTCTTCTTCTTATTATTATCAGCCCTTTGCATGATTAATTAGTGATCAAAACAAAAAGATGTGGATCTGTCTTTCATCGAAGATAAATTCATTTTTGCATGTTTAATTAGCGAGTAACCGATCCCCGTACCCGATTTTGGGGGTTTTTTTTCGGTTTCGGTTATTAAATTTTTTGGGGACTTTTGGTTTTTTTGGGTAGTCGATTCGGGAGTTTTCAGGTCGGTTTCGGGATCTCAGGACAAAGATCCCAGCCCTAGCAACTGATTTCAGACGACGCTCCACAAGTGTTTCTAGACTCTAGACAAATTTTTCTTTAATTTGCTCCACAACACTCTCCTGTATACTAATAATACAGACCGCCATGTTGTTGGTTGGGACGGGTGTCTTGAGCTACATCATACATTAATAGTAATACTGGGGCCTTAGTTTCGGGAACTTTGTTTCTTTTCATCATCTACTACTTACCAAAGTATATAATACTTGACATTCCTTCCTGCCATGTTGTGCATTTACAGAAGCTGCAGCATATGGCAATGACGGAAATGAGGTTGGTTTCAAAGACCCCAAACTTGTTTCTCTTAAAAGGGATATGCTGGGTGGGGTGTATCTTTTATTGCACATTTTTTTCAAAAGGGCATACGTTTAGTATTTGCTTTTCGCTTACGAATGATTGGCCATCCAACGAGTCCAACTAGTGCACTTTGCAGTCTCTTGATGCCAAGGCTCACAAGGCACTGGAATGCCCCTGCATAGCTGACTTACGAAGTGGGCCCTGCGGACTTCAGTTTTCAGAGGCCTTTCTCTGTTATCTTAAGAGCACAGTGGAAGAAAAGGTAATCTCAACTCTGACCCCTGTGCCTTAAAATTGGGTTGGGTACTAGTGATAGGATATGCATCTGGCTGTGGACCTGGATTTTTAGTAACCCATAAATGGAAAATACGTCCATCTAGTCACCAAAGAGACTGGAGAGACCTGGTGAAAATTTTGAGCAAAACGCATTTTCAATTTTCGTTCTCTCATTTGTTCCCTTCTTCCAAATGAAAAATTCTTGAAAATTGATCTTTACCAATTCTGATTATGATTGTAAAATGGATGCTACTTACTTGGTCAGTTACCATGTTGATCTGTTTCTACGTACTGGTAAGTGGTAACGGTAACCTAGCCTAGCGGATGTAGCGTAGTGCTACGCTTATCATTTATTTGTACCATTATTTATATCATCTCTCTAATAAAGGTAGGGCCCACCAACACATGTGTCTCATCTCTATTAGAAAAAATGCTATAAATAGATTGTAAGAATAAAGTTTTTGTTATGTAACACTATAAGTTGGAAATTCATAAAGCTCACTATCATTAGGTGGCTGGTCTGTTTCTGGTCAGCGTAAATATGCTTGTAGTTAACATGAGGTTTTATTGTTTGTCCTTTTATACTTACAGGGATCAGACTGTGTGCATCCATTTGTAGTTCTGCAGAATTGTATTAAAGCTAATCCTGATGCCTTTTCTCAAGACAATTTAGAAGAAGATAAAATTAAGAAAGATGACGACTACAAAATCTACCCCCCGACATGGTCCAGAGAATCTCAAAGTCCAAAGTCCAAGCTTTAGGGAAACCTCTTTCACCGCTCTTTTTTTTTCACTTTTCTTATAACAAACAGTGACCATTGACTTTGTTTAAAGTTGGCCCTTCATTGAAGATGCCCAAACAATTTGAGTTTGTTTTATTGGAAAGATGGTTAAACATTGTTCCACTTCCACACATATAATTCGGCTAAAGAAATTTGGATAAAATAGAATGAGAAAAAAAAAACAGAGGGATTTGAATTGGGGGTTTTGAGTATAAATTGGTTAATTCTATTTAAAAATATTAGTAATTGAAGTCAATACAATTTATGCATAATTTATCCAATCAAATCGGTTAAGTTGTAAAGGTCAAAAAATATTTTTAACCAACTCTTTAACAACTAACAATTTAACATGTTAATGTTATCTTTTGTTAAAAAAGAAATATATATATATATATATATATATTTTTTTTTTTTTTGTGGGTTCAACATTCTAAGTTTTCAAGTCGAGGTCAATGAGGAGATTTTAGTGCCTTTGAAAATATATTTTTTTGTTTTTGTTTTCGTGTACAAAATGACGTGATATTTGATCAAGCGAAAGGTCCAAATGTAACGTTAGTGCAAAGATTGCTTAGTCTCTTTTCAACACACTACATGTGTGTAAATATATAAATTTTAAAAAAGAAAAAAAATTATTTGAAAATAGAGAATTAGAAGAGAAATATGAGAGAGAAAGGGGGAGAGAAAATATGCAAATTTGGTTACAACATGGGGTTTATTTATTCTTAAAATTAGAGATACTATGGTGACATGCAGGTGAGGTTTGAAGAAAAAAAGAGGAAATTAAAATCCGCTACAAATTTTCTATATCATGTTATATCCCACATGGTCTAGGGAGTGGATCATTTAAGCCTTATATGTATATTTACATCTCTACCTAGCACGAGGCATTTTAGGAGCTTACTGGCTTCGGGTTCCATCGGAACTTCGAAGTTAAGCGAGTTCGCGCAAGAGCATTCCCATGATGGGTGACCTATTAGGAAGTTCTTGTGTGAGTTCTCAGAAATAGAACCGTGAGGGCGTGGTCGGGGTCCAAAGCAGACAATATAGTGCTACAATGGAGTCTAGTTCGGAATATGGTAGGGGTCCGGGCCGGGATTTGACATATCATCTAGATTAAACATTTGTGTTTTTTTAAGAATTGTTTAAAGCGCTTTGCCTACAAATTTTATTGATGTTTTTTTTTCAAATAGTTGTGATCAAACATAACAAGTTATGTGTAATTTTTTCAATTTTTTTTGTGAAACTATTTTTCTTTGATTTTTTTTTAACATATAGTTGTTGATGAACTGTTATTACGTACAATACATTATGCATATAGGCTATAATCAAAATGGTTCATGAGATTTGCATAACTTCTCAATTTGGTCCTTAAGATTTGAAATCAATATAAGTAATCCCTGAGATTGTCTATTATCAATCATTTTGGTCTTTCTGTGAATAGTTATGTTAAATAAAGATTAAAATGATAAAACTATTCTCAATTTTGATAAACAATAGGTCAAAATGATTGGACAAAAAATGAGGATATTTTTGTCATCTTATCCTTATTTGATGGATATTTTTTACAGAATGACTAAAATGATTGATGGTGGACAAACTGAATGACCAATTCTATCGATTTCAAATCTAAATGACCAAAACAAGGAGTTATGCAAATCTTATTGACCATTTTGAATAAAAAGCCTATTATCGGTGGGTACATTTAAATTTGTAAAAATTGTTGATTGGTACATTTATTTGCAATTTTGATACGTTTGACAACATATTATTGATATTGGTATATTATTTTTCATTTAGGTACCTTCGAGTTCATACACATTGTTTATTGGTACCTTTATGTTGTTTTCAGTCCTATTTTCTCTTAATATACTAAAAGAAAAACTTATTAGTTACGTTTAATTTCGTGAGATTTAAAAATATTTTAAACTGTTGAGAAAAAATAATATTTTAAATCATAGATAATCATTGCTATATTATAGGGATTATTGTGAAAATAAATTGAATCTAACCATATTTTTTTATACAATTATCTCTAAAGGGAGGGAGGGTAATCAAATGGCTAGATTATAGGAAATTTGTCATGATGTGTGTTTTTTTTTAGCATGAGATTTTAGGGAGGTACATGAAATAATTAATTCTAATACATATAATTCTAATACATATAATTATAAAATAATTTTTTTAATCAAATATCTAAAAGGCGTAGATGTTTAGCCCAAAAAATTCAAAAGTAAGGCGCCGATATCAAAAGATTAAAAAAAAAAAAATTTGGTTTGTGCGAAATTATACTACTATCTGATAGGAGTACATTTAGACGACATAGTTAGCTTGTTTTCGTACATTTATGTTGTTAGTTCATAGTTATTTTAGTAGTTTAAGCTATTTTTGTGTGTTTTTAGGTTCATATGGCTAAGGAAGCAAAAAGGTGCATTTTGGAGCATTTTGGAGCAAAATTGGACTTGGAATGGATAGCATATGTTTGGAGCAAAAGGAATGGACGAAATTGAAGACCTAAAGATGTTAGGATTCCTAATCAAAGAAGGGTTCCTAATCAAAGAAGGATTCCTAGTTAAAGAAGGTTTCCTACTCAAAGTAGGAAAGTTAAGCCAAGGTTTCCTATTTTGGTTTAACATTTCCTAATCCTAAATATCCCTAAGTTCCAGCAACTTTTAAGGTGGCTTATGCATTTTAGGACACAAACCAAAGACTCCTTGCACTATCCTAGTCCTTGCCGCATATATCCTTACCCTTTTCTTCCAAAATCTGTCATATATCTTCTTTCCCCTTTTCTCAAAGTTGTGCCGCACCTTTTCCTTCCCTTTTTCAATTGGGATTCTGATTTAGACCCTTTTCTTGGAGGATTTGGAGTCTTAAAACCTTCCCAAATTAATTAATTAAGGCCTTAACCTTTTTCCCTCTATATATACATAATCTGCCGCACATATTGGGGACTCTAGACATCCATACACATCCATTCGAATTATTCCTCATTCTCTCCATTCATTCAACCATCATCCACCCCCTACCACCATCCAACCTATCCATCCATCACCATAATTCATACCTAAACACCCTTGTCCCGCAACAAAGAAGGAGAAAGAAGAGAGCAGAAGCCTTGGACGTTTTGGCCATTTAAGCTTGGATTGTTGGAGCGTTTCTAGGTGTATTCAATCTTTGTTTTCAATGTTTAATTTACTCTTTGTTTTGTTGTAAACATGAGGAGCTAAACTTGTTTTAGTTAGGGGAGACTTTGAAACCATTATTATATTTGCAATATGAATTGATTAATTCTAGTTGTGACTTCATAAATTGTGAATGCAATTTACTTAACCATTTGATGGATAACTTATTCTTGTTTGTTGATTAAGGGTGCACACTTAATTTGCATGCTTGAATTTGGTGCTAGAATATAAGGGAGTTTCACATAATCGTCACAAACTTATATTCACAAGTAGTTAAGGTTGTTTTCACAATCATATTAAGTAAATTCCTAGCATGAGTATCATGATGTCATAGTTACAAGTGCTTTGTCAATACTTATGATTTTCATAGAACGTAATGATCTTTGATTGTATCTCTATTATGATGTCATGTAGGGAACTTTTGAAGAATGTTTTGGGTTGTCGTATGATGTCATCCAATCCAATAACTAAAGGAGAATCTGATGGTTAATTAGTGATGTCACGGTTAATCTGGGGTGTTGAGGTTCATGGTTTATCGAAAAAGCAACTGGAAATCAATTTGTATTCGAATGTAGCATGTGTGGAAAAGAATCCTCTAGCTAGCTAATCACCCATCCATATCCCCAAATTCGTCCAAACTTTATTTGAGTCTTTACATTACTTGTTTTTACTTTAAATTCGTCAAAAACCCAATCCCCATTACTTTGTTGTGTCAATCTGTCCTATTGTGTGTTTTTAAGTATTTTGAGTCAAAACCAATTCTATTTTCGTCCAAATTAAGTCCTAGAGTCTAAATTGAGTCTTTTGGATTGTTTTGTATTGTTTTGAGTCTTTTAAATTTGTTTTGAGTCATATAAGTCTAGTTAAGAGTCTTTGAGTTTGTTTAAGTGTTTTTAAGCATATTTTTGTATCTTTGAGTCAGTTTTCATTAGATTCGCAATCCCTCCTAATCCCCGCCCTAGAACGATCTCTACTTATATCTATACTACAATTGTCAAAAAAGAAGGTTTAATTTGAGTGCTATTATTTATCACATCACTATCCACAATTTTTATTTTGTGATAGAAGACCAAATTGTCTTCTCATTCTCTTTTTGTTGATAAAAAGAGTTTTGTTAATAAGTAATTTAGATTAGCTTAGTAAGTGGTATTGACTTGAATTGATTTTATTGACCATAATTGAAGAGTTTTGTGCATTTAATCGAGAGTTTGAGAGGTTTTAGTTGTGTGTATTAAAAATGTACATATATTCAATTAAGAGATATTTTATAGAAGTCCACAAAAATTCGAATGTACTCAAATAGAATTTTAAAGAAATTTATACAAAATCCACATATATTCAATCTAAAGAATTTTAGAAAAGAATAATTTAGTATATTTGAAGAGAACTGATACAATATTCTAAGAGCATCTCCAATTGACTGTCTAAATGAACTTCTAACAAAATTTAGAGAGGATTAAAAAAAAAAAAAAACAACAACAACAACACCAATCATGTTCCCTGTCCACCTCCAATGATAAAATCAAGAACTAGAATGATTCCTATAGAATTCAAATTTTCATTACATTGTAGGAGTTTGATTCTTACCGAATTAAAGTCGAGCTCAAATTTTTGGCATAATACGGAAGACCTATAAATATTTTACATTTAGTTGGGATTCAAAGTTTCCATGGTGGTTGTCTTTCACTTGATATAGACGCAAAGGTTTTCCTATATGAATTTAATAAATTTCTTGGGTATATGTTTGGGTTACGGGTGGGCACGAGTTGGGTTTGGTCGGTTTTGGGCCAAAATAGAAACCAAACTGACCTAGTCGGTTGGGTCAAAATTGCAAACCGAAATCGACCAAGTTGGGTCTAAAACCGATCAAGTTGGTTAATCGACAGTGGTGGGTTGGTTTAGGTCAGTTCAGGTTTGTGTGAAGATAAAAATACA